ATGACAGAAACCGCCTGTACAATGTCCTGTAAATGCCTGTACATTTCTGCATTGTTGTGACTTGTAAAATGAATTCAGAGGAACTATTAAAAGTGCTGTTCTCCAAGGGGCTGCCTGTGGGACTGCTCCTTGGGACGGGGCTGGGCGAAGGGGGAGCAAACACCCTGTGGGCATAGGGATGGGTGGTGCAAGCAGAGAGATGCCGATTCAGCCGCAGCGCAGACTCCGGGGTGGGGATGGGGGGGTTCAGTTGCTGAGCCCCCATTCCTTGGAAGCCAAATGATCTCAGGATCCATCAGCCAGCCTGCAATGGGGAGTGGGGGGGGGGATTCCCAAGGAGGGGATGGGGTGCTTGGAGGTTTTTTTTCTGGGGTTGAGGGGGAATGTAGAGGTGGCCAGAAGTGATGCTGACGGGATGGGAGGGTGGTGGGGAAGGATGGCTCTGGGTGACGATGACCGGAGGAGGCTGCACCATGCTCAAAGAGAAGGTTCCTCATGGGAGAAAAATGGGGTGGAAAGCAGAGCTGACCAACGTTGTGGGGTCGGGTCAGTGCTGGGGAGGTGTACGGAGGGTGGGTGCCAATGTGGGTACTGGGGAGTGGGTGTAGGTGCTGGGGGTCAGGTCAGGGATCCCTGTTTCGCACTCATTGGCCCGGCCCCTTTGTCCCCTGTGGTCCAGGAGTCTGGGAGCGTGGCTGTCCTGGCCAGAGGACTCAGCCCCTCCAAGATTCTTTCCAACAGTTTCCAACAGCAGCAGCCTAACCATGGTGCCAGGCTGACACCAGGACCCTCCCAGCAGCTCTTCATCTCCAAGTCAAGCTTGCAAGTGACCAAATCCCACCCTCACCTGATGGGCACCAGTTTCCTCCCACCGCTTACCCAAAAGCAGCACCAGCATTGGTTGGCCCTTCCCCACCACTGCCTGCCCTGCAGCCTGGGGCCCCTCTCTCCATCCCACCCAGGGGAAGGGTGAATCCCCCCCTGCCCCGGGACCCCATTGACTAGATACAGTCGCACACCAGAGGGCAAATCCTTCCCCTGTGCCCCACAAACATGTCCCCCACTGTCCCCGGGATGTGAATACAGGGCAGAGCCAACTGGTGCATCCTGAGCACACATGGGTGTCCCATCTCCTCTTCCAATGCACCCACTGCCAGCCACTTCAACCCAAACCCAACATGCAGACAGGCTCACCCGCATCCCACCAGAGCCCTGGCCTCCCATCGATGGGCAGGGGAGGTGGTCGTGAGCCCTGGAGAGATGTCCCCTCCTCACATCTGAATTGTGAGCAGTTTACTGAATTACACAAAGTGGCTGGCCAATAATCCAAGACGATGGATGGTTTTGGTCTGGTTTATTAAATGCCTGTTCCTAGGGATGCTCTGGATACCAGCTCTGCATCCTGAGGGTGCTCACAGTTCCCATCGCAGCAGCATCCCAAGCCAGGACCATACCCCTCCAGGCTCCCAGGGCAGTGGGAAAGAAAGTGGGTTTGGTTGGAAGGACGCACAGGTGCGGTCTTTTCTGTGGACCTTCACCCAAATCCCTGAGCTGAACTCAGCCTGGGCTGAATGTCTGCTTGACTGGGAAGGAGTCATGGAGTCCTGGGCCATTGCCTCGCGGGGAGAGCCTGTGTATGTCCCACTCAACCACTTCATTGCATCATGGATGTCCGCTTCCACCATCCTCAGAAAGGTGACCGACTTCAGCCCCAAGGATCCCACCACTTGCTCCCTGTGTCCTTGGGGTGCCCCATATGGCCAGTGGAAGCAAGGTCAGGGAGGACTACAGAGTTGCCGTTCACCACCGTAGGGAGAAATTTGTGTGGCCAAAGCTCAATTAGAGTACTGTGAACGACAATTAAAAGGTTTTTTTTTAAATACAGCAGACCAGAAATAACATTGGCCCATTACTTGATGAGTATGGTCACCTCACAAACAGGGACACAGACAAAGCAGAGACAGTTAATGCTTTCTTCAGCTCGGTCTTCAACACCAATGCTGGGCTTTGGGACCCTCAGAGTCCTGGGCTAGAGAACCGTGGCTATGAGAATGATAAATTCTCAACCAACCCCAAAGTTGTGTGGGATTTGCTGCTCCAGCTGGATCCCTATAAGTCTATGAGGTCTGATGGGATTCATCCAAGGGTACTTAAAGAGCTGGCTGATATCATAGCGAGACCTTTCTCAATGATTTTTCAATGCTCTTGGGAATCTCAAGAGGTCCCAGTTAACTGGAAGCTGGCAAACATTGTCGCAATTTTCAAGGGCAATAGGGATGATCCTGGTAACAACAGGCCTGGCAAAATTATGGAGAAGATTATTCTGGGAGTTATTGAAAAACATCTGAAAGACAACACAGTCCTTGGTCCCAGCCAGCATGGGTTCACAAGGGGAAAGTCCTGTATAACAAACTTAATTTCTTTCTACAAGGTAACCCACCTGGTTGATCAAGGGAAGCCAGTCAATGTAATCTTTTTTAGCTTTCAGTAAAGCTTTCCATCCTGCCTCTCACTGTATCCTCCTGGACAAAATGTCCAGCGTACAGCTGGATAAACACATGATGCAATGGGTGAGTACTTGGTGGCGAGTCGGGGTCAAAGGGTTATGGTAAATGGGGTCACATCAGGCTGGCAACCAGCCACCAGTGGGGCTCCACAGGGATCCATCTTAGGGCCAATGCTCTTTAACGTCTTCAGAAATGACTTGGATGCAGGACTCGAATGAATACTAAGTAAGTTTGCCGATGACACAAAATGGGGAGCAGCTGTCAACCCCCTCAAAGGCAGAGAGGCCCTGCAGAGAAATCTGGACAAATTAAAGAGCTGAGCAATCACCAACAGTATGAAGTTTAACAAGGGCACGTGCCGGATTCTGCACCTGGGAGGGAGCAACCCTGGATGTACATACAGCCTGGGGAACGAGAGGCTGGAGAGCAGTCCCACGGAACAGGATCTGCGGGTTCTGGTTGATGGCAAGTTGAACGTGAGTCAACAGTGAGCCCTGGTAGCCAAGAGGGCCAACCCTGTCCTGGGGTGCATCAAACACAGCATGGCCAGCCGGTCGAGGGAGGGGACTGTCCTGCTCTGCTCTGCACTGGTGCGGCCCCACCTCGAGTACTGTCCGCAGTTTTGGGTGCCACAATATAAAAAAGATAGAAAGCTACTAGAGAGCATCCAAAGGAGGGCCACGAAGTTGGTGAAGGGTTTAGAGGGGAAGCCATATGAGGAGTGTCTGCAGTCACTTGGTTTGTTCAGCCTGGAGAAGAGGAGACTGAGGGGAGACCTCACCGCGGTCTACAGCTTCCTCAGGAGGGCAGGCGCTGATCTTTTCTCTCTGGCGACCAATGATGGGACCTGAGGGAATGGCATGAACACAGGTGGGGGAGGTTTAGGTTGGATATTAGCAAAAGGTTCTTCACCCAGAGGGTGGGTGAGCACTGGAATAGGCTCCCCAGGGAACTAGTCACGGCACCAAGCCTGACAGTATTAAAGAAGCATTTCGACAACGCCCTCAGACACATGGTCTGAATTTTGGGGTTGTCCTGCGCAGAGACAGGAGTTGGACTCGATGATCCTCGTGGGTCCCTTCCAACTCAGGACATTCTATGATTCATGCCCCAGACCATGACAGACAGACATCCCACCTTGGCCGTACAGCACGCCTTTTAGCTGGTCCTTTACTGATTGCTCTGCAGGACAGCGGGGTCCAGTACGCAATATTGAGCACGGTCACAACACCGTCATGGGCATGATCCATCCCTCCAAACAGCCCGAGCTGGCAGTGGCACCTGTACAACAGCAGATACCCCTCTGCCCCTGCAAGACGCTGCTGTGACTTGCTGCTCACTGCCCGAGTCACCGCGGCACTCACTTCTTAGGGGACAGAACCTGCTGGAGGGACGGCCAGGCTGGAGGGCAGGATGCATCATCACGGTGGAGGGGTTGTCCAGGGGGGGGTGAAGGGCTGGTGGTCAGCGGTGACAGCGGGGGTCGGCTCTGCAGCACTCCGACAGCTTCTGCAGGACTCGATCCTTCAAGCAGATCCTCCTGGAGAGCTTGAGCGATAGGCTGGTCTCATTCTCGTGGGCCTTCAGCTTGGCATAGTAGTCAGAAAACTTGTTGTAGAGGATGGAGATGGGCATGCCGTTGAGGATGATGCCAAAGGATATGCAGCCAAATGCCACCATTCTGCCAAGCACCGTGTTGGGTACGGTGTCTCCGTAGCCCACAGTGGAGAGGCTGACCTGGGCGAGGAAGGGAAAGGATAAAATCTTACAGGAACAAGCCCAGCAGACCCCGCTTGCTGGTGCTGGGACCCACCTCCCTCTGCCCCTGTGTGGAAGCTGAGCATCACCTGGGAATGGCACTGCAGCTCGGCTCTCCCTGCTCCAGCAGCCTGCACGGCCAGGGCTCAGCTCCCTGGGCTGCACCTGGCAGGCTTGGAGAGCCTGAGGAAAGGGCTGGATGAGGCCTCAAGAGCAGAGACTGGAGGCAAGGCGCCCCCCCCTCCCCTTTGCGTGTGTCTCTTCAAAAGCAGCTGGACATCACCAAGCTGAACTTTCCGCAGCAGCCAGACTGTCTGCTGGAGCTTCCTGCCCCCAGGGAGCAGTGGCTCCGGTGCTTCCTGGCCATGAGCTGCCCGGTCCCATGGGAATGAAGCTTCCCAGACCCTCCCTCCAAGGGAAACAGAGGCACTACCCAGGAATGCACCCGGAGGAACCGTGTTTGGATGACAGGGACGGGGCAAGAACAAAGGCAGAGAAGTTTGGGCTTTGCACGGAGCCATGCTGACCAGGGAACGGATCAGCCTGTGATGTTTAACTACTCAAATCTGGTGATTTTGCTAAATGATTTTGCACTTCCTCGAGGAAGGATGAATTTGAAGCAGACAGCCTGAGGTAGCCAAGGGGGATTATAAGAGCAGAAGTGATCTGTGGGATCATTTCAGCTGTAAATCAAAATGCCCTTGTAACCCCTGGCTCTCAAGTGCTTTAGCTGCTTCTCATCTCAGAGGTAATCCAGGTTTATTATAGCGCTCGGCTCAGCAGAGCTGCCAGCTCCCGGCACAAGCAGGGCAGCAAACAAGGGCTCCCGTCCCTGGCTGCAGCACCCCCCAGTCTGTGTCCTCTTTCAGGACACGGGCTAAGACACGATGTGACCATGTTTCCTTGGTTCCTCCTTGCAGCCCTAGGTCCTCTGGCTCAGCCCCACAAGCTCTGGCCCCCTCATGCCGGGTTGCAATGCTGCACAAGCCTCAGGCTGTCCTGGGCAGCTGTCCCCATGCCCATGGGGTCTAAACCATATCCACCCGACACTTGGGTCCCATGACAGATAAAGCCTGGCCTGAGTTACAGCCCCCTTGTCACTAACCCAGGCCTGGAGGTTCCCAGGCCATCACCTCTGTCCCACCATCCCACCCCAGCACCAGCTTTTGAGCCTCTGAGCTTAGTCCAAATCTCTGATTTCTATTCTCAGAGCATGCAGGGCTCTGGGTTTCCCACCACTACTGAGCTGGTGGGAAGACCGGGCCCTTTTCTGCCTCCTGGACAGCAGCAGTGGTGAATCCCTCGAGCACCAGGGTAGCCCCCACCCATGGAGAACTGCCACACCCCTCTCTGGAAGAAGGTGCTCACACCTTACCGCTGCCCACCACCATGCGTAGGGGATACTGGTGAAGTTGGTGCCTGGGACATCATGTTCCACCGAGTGCATGAGGGCGGAGAAGGTGAAGACCCCCATGGCGATGAAGAGGAAGAGGCAGCAAACCTGCTGGTAGCACTGGCGCATGGTGAAGCCAAAGGCCCGGAGGCCAGTGGAGTGGCGCGCCAGCTTGAGGATGCGGAAGATCCTCATCAGCTTGATGATCTTGAGGACTTTGCCCAGCTTGCTCACATTCTCCACCTTGTGCAGTTCCTCATGGTAAAGCGTGTCTCCTTCGTCCAGATTTTCAAAGAGGATCTGGATGTAGAAGGGCAGGATGGCCACCAGGTCTACAGCATTGAATGCTGCCCGCAAGAAGTTCTTCAAGCTGGAGGAGGATAGGAGCCGCATGAGGTATTCGGAGGTGAAGAAGACGGCACAGATCATCTCCAGCTGCTCCATCCACATCTTCCCTGTCTTGTGTTTCATCTCCTCCACTGTGCTCAGTGTCATGCCCACGATGGAGATAAGCACAAAGAAGCTCGACATGACGGCGATGATCTTGGCTGGGATAGAAGAATATGGGTTCTCAATGAGGTTCCAGATCATCTTCCGAAACTGTCCCAGAAATTTGCCATCAAACTGCTCCGCTGAGTCCAGGGGCTCCAGTTCTGCCTCCAGCTCCTTCTGTATTTTCAGGTACTCGCTGAGTTCATCTTGCTTTTCCTCAAACAGGATCCGGCAGCAGCGTTGAGCATATTTCAGATGGATTCCCCAGTACTCGATTTCCTCCACAAAGTTACTGGGACACATCTCATCCATTACCCACAGGACCCCGCTGCGGTAGAAGTGGAAAATGTAGTGGAAAATTGAAGGATCTCTGTCAAAGAAGTACTCATTCTTCTGCACTGAGTAGTCATCGCAGAGCTGCAGCTTCTTCATGGGGTCTGTATAAAGGGCCAGCTTCCCAAGCCTGGTGATGGGGTACCGGGCCACTACCTTGTAAGCTATCTGGAACAATTTGCCACCCACGTTAATGTTGAGCAAGTACTTGTTCCTCTGGATGGGACTCTTGCTTTTCTCCTGGTTTCTGTCCGTCACGTTCTGCATGGAGCTCCATTGCTTTACCAGGCTGTCCTGTGCAAATGGGATGTGCACTTCCTCTTCCTCCGGTGTCCGGCAGCAGCCCTGGTGATCCCCAATCTTCAGGCTGGCAGAGAGACTTGCACGCCTCGTCCCCAGCTGCCTCATCGTGCCTGATCCTCTGAAGCAGCGATTCCTGTTACGGGACGTGGAAGAGCAGCTCTGGCTTCATGGGAACGCTCCCACCAGGCGTACGCTGACTGGGACAAGTGCTGTGAGCTCAGAGGAGCAGCGGCGAGAGGCTGCCCGAGGGGCACTGGTCGTGTCATGGTGCCACGTGGCACCTGCCAGGTTCCCAAAGCCGATTGCTTATCAGATTGCAGTTTGCATCGTAGGAGTCGGAGGCAGCTAACTGTCTGCTCCTTAAGACAATAATGAGATTGAAGCACTAGCCCTTTATGTAAGGAACTATTTCCAGCTCTGCACTTCTCTTTTTCCTCATTCTGTTCTTATTAGCTGTTTGTGTTTGTCACAAGCTACCCTGTTTCCAAGGAGGGCGTTCACGCCAGCAATTTGAAAAGAGAGCATGAACTTGCCTTGATTTAACCCTGAAAGACCTCCCTTGCCAGGCACAGAAAGGTGCAGACACGCTGGATTTGTATATCAGCTTTGTACCCTCGCAACAGATGCTGCTTTTGGCACCCGTCACTCGTTAAGCACCCCAGCGCTAATGCAGCCGCCTCTGCTCCATCAGCTGTCATAGCCCAGAGACGGGAGATGGTTGTTACCTCCCAGCTCATCCTTCAAAACCCCACAGCGCAGATTTAGAGGAGAAGAGGTGAAGGAACCATCTCACCCTCCACGCAGTGCCCGAGCGCATCCCCAACGTGACAGGCTGATCCCGCACCGCTGCCCTGTGTCACCTGCTCCTCACACTGGCTTTCAGCCCCAGTACTCCCATAAGCAGGGGCAGGAACATGGAATGGGACACTGGAGATGTGAGCATGCAGTAAACATTCCCCTGAATTATAGGAACCAAAGAAGAGGAAATAATCCTTTGGGGATTTGCAAGTAAAAGGGGAACCAAAATTGAAGAGGCCAGTCTTTGATGTCTTACCCTGGAACACAACCCTACCTCAGCACGTAAAACATCACACTGATTTCCCTGGACTGACCTAATTGAATGCAGAGACCTGGAGCACAAAGCTGCTCCTAGGCTGAAAAGCAGCTCAGGCTCCACTACAATTGAAGTCTCTGAGCCTGGGGATTAGAACAACAAAAATGCTTCTGGCACCAGACAGAGGAAGGGAAATTGCTGTCACAAACATGGCCCCAAGTTTTGGCACAAGACTCATAAAAATGTGTTTCTTTCAACCTTGAAATGCTCAGCTCAGGGATCAGTAAGCAAAACCTGCGTGATCTCGCAGCGGGGAAGATGCTGCGACTGCTGAGTTCACCCACCGGCCTTGCTCCCCATCGCACGGAGCAGGGGGCTCTGCCCCGCCTAACAGGACAGCACGTGTCGGCTCAGCAGCTCCAGCCGAGAGGATGATCTGGGACCGGCTGGTGACAGCTGACCTCTGCCACATGGCCCTGACAGCACAAGCACTTCTCTCAGCCCTAGCTCAACCCCCGTCCCACGGGGATTTCTGAAGCACCTTCCCGCTCTGCTGGGCACCCCACTCCTTTCGCTTGCTCTAATGAAAAAGCAACAAGTTCAAGCAGTCTTAGGTTTTTCACCTTGTTCTTAGCCATGCTTTCCACTTGTCGTCTCTTCTGCAGTAGCACTCCTGGTGCCAGTGCCAGCCATTTCTCTTGTTTCCACCTACTCCATTCATTCTGCTCCCCGTATTTCATTCTTCGTATTACAGCTGATGTGTGCTGGAGTCACTTCAGTCCCAGGCAGGCACAGCAGCTCTCGCTTTCCCTATCTGCCCGTGCCAGCCCACCCACCACAAGTTCTCTTTGCCAGGATGTGACAATCCAAAGGTGACAGCCCCCACCCTCCCAACTACAGAATTCAAGCAAATGCACAAATCCAAGAAAAATAAAAATAATCCAGAACTCATTATAATGTTTCAAGTTCTTTATTCTCCTGTGTCATTCACCAAC